TTTATTATTGAGAGACAGAGACAGAGCATGAGCAGGGGAGGGGCCGAGAGACGGGGGTGGGGGGAGACACAGAATCCGAAGCAGGCTCCAGGCTCCGAGCCCTCAGCACAGAGCCCGACGCGGGGCTCGAACTCACAGACCGCGAGATCATGACCTGAGCCAAAGTCGGACGCTTAACCGATGGAGCCACCCAGGCGCCCCTCATTGTTTTTATTTTTTAAGGTGTGGAAGAAAACACAGGGATCTCTTCATCAGCTCTTTGGCCCCGGAAGGAAGCAGCAGGGGCCGGAAGGATCCCGGGCAGCATCCTGCCTGGTGCAGGGGGAGGGGGGGTTGGGCGCCCCCGGCAGCGTGCACACCCTCTCACTGCCCCCAGGCCAGCCTGTGCCGGCTCCCACTCACCAGACACCAGGCTGCTCACTGGGGTCAGATCCCGGGAAGGGCTGGAGACAGCATCCTAACACGCCCCTGGGACAGCTTTCTGGAAGGCACCTGGTCCACAGCTCGGACTGCCCTTCCCACAGCTCCCCCTGGGGGCGTTCGTTTCTCCCGCACCTGCTCCTTCCCCGCAGTGACGCTCCTCTCCTGCACGGAAACCAGCCAGAGGGAGGCCCCATTCCAAAACACCACTGGCTTCCCTCAAGGGGGGGAAGACCCACAGGCTTGTTTGTGCGGAATTGCAACAAGCACGAAGGTGGGAAGCCACACTTCCTGGGTGGCCCGTGCCTTGCCCGTGTATTTGCGAATGCGGGTTCGTGAGAAGCACAGGCAGATGGGACGGCAGGTCTGCACACTCCCCGGCCGGGCCGTGGCTCTGGCTCCTCTAAAAGGTGCTGCTGGAGTGAGGCCCAGGCCCAGCCTAAGGGAGCAGCCCGACAGCGGGGGGGAGCTGGCAGGAGGGAAAGACAGGAAGGGGCCTCCCCTGCTGCCCTGCCCGGTGGGTGCTTCCCGTCCCCACCCAGTCCGCAGTCCGTGGGGTGAACATCCACAGTCTCCTCTTTTGTCTCAGGATTCCAGCACCTAAGTTTGGCCGAGCCACTTAAAACCTGGTGTTTCTTTTTAAGATTATTTGGAGAGAGTGCCTGTGTGTAAGCGGGGGAGGGGCAGAGAGAGGGAGAGAGAGAGAATCCACAGGCGGAGACAGCAGGTTCCACGCTGTCAGCGCAGAGCCTAACTCGGGGCACAATCTCACGAACCGTGAGATCATGACCTGAGCCGAAACCAAGAGACGGACGCTGAACGGACTGAACCAGCCCAGCGTCCCAAAGCCTGGTGCTTCGAGGGAAGATGTAAAGCATTTTCAGGCCCAGTGGTACCTCCCAATCTCTCCCCCACCTTCCTGTAATCCAGTGACTGTCTCCAAAACTCCGAATCAACAGAACTGGTTCACTCTCATCCTCCAAGGTGAGCAAGAAAAGCCAGTCGTGAAATCTGCACCATGGGAATTCTGTGTAGACGACGTTCCGATGCGAGCAAAGCTAAAGATACTGCTTAGACACAGACGCACGCGGCCACGGAGGCCAGGGGCTACCTCTGGGGTGGGGTGAGGTGGCAGGCGTGCTCAGGAGGGACCCACAGCAGTCCGTGGGGACCGGTGATGGTGACGCCGAGGAACCGTTCTTGGCGCTGAACATGCTTCTGCACACTCACGTGTGAGGGGATCTCACGAGCATGTGTGTTTCAAGTTAACACATAAAAACCGCCAATTCTTCTCTCCCCACCAGACCCCAGGGAGTAGCAACAAAACCACCCCAAACCGTGGGGCAAATAAAACACGAGCGTCACTAAACGTCAGGGAGCTGGACACCAGCCACCGCGATGCAGTGACGCCGGCACAATGTCGGCTGTGCGCCGAGGGAAAGGTCCCCGGGGCCGCGAGGCGGCCTTGCCCGGCCCAGGGAGGGCGGCCCCTGCTCGGTGCGGGGTTACTCGGAGTGGCCAGGGCGCAGCGCCAGGAGGGGACCGGCCTGTGGGATGCGGGGCCTCGACACCCGCCCCCCCACCCCCCGGCCCCCGCCCCTGCTTCTCTGGGGCCGGGAAAGGCCGGCGCGTGTAGGCAGACTCCTCTTCCTCTTCCGCTCCTGCGGCTTCCAGACACTGGTTCAGAGCCACGCGGAGGCCCCGCTGGCACAGCTATCGGTGACGCCGATCACCCCGGCTCCCCGACCCCCCGCGCGGACGCACAGACGACAGCGTGGGCTGTGGGAGACGCATACGTATTTATTATGACATTCTGGACACAAACGAGGCCGCGCAGACCTGAGGCGAGCTCACAACCTGGCGCGGAATCTGTGCGTCCCGGCCAGGGTGACATGCGGCTGCCCGGCTCTGAGGCGTGGTGGCCGCTGCGGCTCTCTGAAGACTGTGACAAAGGTCAAGGGATTCCACAGCGGCTGGTTCTTTGATCACATGCTGCCTCGGTGGGGAAGGAGCCAGGTAGAGACGGCAGGAGCGAGCTGCGAGCTTCAGCTTCGAGAGCCTCGGGGCTCTGCCTGAACGGCCTGGCAGTTCCACCGACATCTGCTTCTACGGAGACTGAAGGCCACGGCGTGTGGGGGCTTCGGTTCCAGGACCCCTTCCCCATCCCCCACTCCCTCTGGCCCCGGGGCAGCCGCCCCAGCTGCTTCATCCAGGGGCTTCAGTGCCGCGGGAAGCAAGACCCAGGCCCCCCGTGCTCACCCCGACCGCCCCAGCCGTGGCCTCGCTCGGCATCATCCAGAACATACTTCCACGAGGGGTGCGCAACAGTGCGGGGAGAAAGGGGTAGCTTATGTTTTGTAGCGCCAGCCCCCAGGGAAGCCGCGTGAGCAGCAAGAGACAGTGACAGCGGGGGACCTCTGTCTCATCATCCGGTTCCCCGGTGGGGGCAAGCTCCAGCCAATCCATGGGCAGCACAGGGATGGAGCTGCCTCCAGGAACCATCTCTACTGACAAATCCTACCCCCACCCCGGATCCCGATCGCGCGTGAGTCGAGTCGTTAGTATGCAGGAGAAACGCTGACAGCAGTGTGGGACTCCGGAGCCTGTCTGTGACCACGGAGTCGGGCGAAGCGGGGCCCAGGGAGGAGCTGGCCCCCGCACCCCGACCTCGCGTGCTCGGCACCCTGCTCCTCAGCTCTGGGCTGTGAGTCCGGGTGCTGGACGGCCACGGTCCCTGACTGCGAGCCCCAGGGACAAAAGCTGGGCCCGAGTTAGCGCGAGGGCGGGTTGGGGACACAACGCTTGTGGCACACGGGGACGGACACCCAAGTTAACGAACGTCGCGGAGCCTCGGCCGTTTGAACAGCCTGCGGTGGATGCGCTTCCCGGTTGTGGCGTGACTCGCTTGAACCGAAACAACTTTTCTGCCTCTTTACACATCTGGGTTTCCAAAGTGGCCGGCCCGTCTTCGGGGTACAAACGCGCCCTCTGCCGGGAGGAGGGCGAAGGCAGGGGCCTGTGGGGACACTTGGGGCACTCAGCCCGGCAGGGCCCACGGGAGGGTTTCTCCCAACAGCCTCCCGGAAGGTGTGTTCGGGGACGCACTCTTCCAACACGCCAGGGACACGAGAGGGTCTCTGGAAAGGGAGGGGACTTACAGACTGGCCCATCAAGTCACACGGCCCGGGTCTCGGCTTCGATCTTCTGCTCCCCGTGTAAGCTCTCTGGGTCCTGGAGCTGGGCCACACTCTGTCGGATGGCGATCTCGGGGCCACCGCCATACAGGTTGTTCAGGTAGACCCAGGTCTCCTCCGAAATCTGCCCATAGTCAGCTCCTGCAGGGCCCAAGAGGGCAACGGGTCGGGGCCGGGCTCACGTCTGCCCCCTCACTCCCTTGGTGACGCCATGGTCTTTGGCAGTGGGGGCTCCGGGAGGTGCAGGCCCCGAAAGGGAGGGAGCGCAACTATGCGTTTCCGTGCAAAGCGGTGAAATGCAAATCCAGGATGCCCCAGCAGGACGTCTGTGCTCTGAGGACCCCAGAGGGTGCATCTCTGCGCCCCATTTCCGGGGGTATGGGGTTCACACAAAGGGCAGGTGGAGGCCAACACAGGGCATGGGTGTGAGCGGCGGGGGCTCCTGGGAAGACTGTGACTGGCAGCTGGGGGGCGGGGATGGGGGGGAGCCCGGCTGGCCCAGAAGGCCAGGGCTGGAGCCGGCAAAACTCACCCTGCTTCAGTTGAATGTGGCCGCTTCCCCTGGCCTGTGCGATCCTGCTGTTGTCAATGGGCCCGGGGGGCTCTGGAACAGAAACAGCTCAGGCTCAGGACCTCTGGGCCTCTGCAGCGGCGGGAAGAAACCCCAGCACCCCCCCCCCCCCCCCCCCCCCCCACCGCCCCCCAGCCCTCCGCTTCTCAACAGGTAAGAGCCATTCTCAAGGCGTCACTCCAACACCTGTGGCCCCCGAGAGGCTGTCCGGGCCGCAGGGGGTCAGTGTGACGTCCTTCCAGGGGCAGGTGCGTGCTCGTGCGGGGAAGTCTGAGAGCCAGAAGGGACTCGTAGCATCCCTGGAGCCCGCACAGGGGACTTCAGGGACCCACGAGCTAGTTTCAGACCCCTCACTGTGGACGGCAGCTGCCACGCGCCGAGCACCCTTCCTGAAACCTCACGGAAGCCTCGACTACCTGATCTGAGAGCCGTCACAGAAGCAGGGGAAGTAACAGCCCAGGTAAGAGCTGGCAGGAATAAGGCTGGGCCCGGAGGTAGGGCTGTAGCTCCAGAGCCTGTTTCTCCATCAGAGCCAAGCCCGACTGCCTCCACCAACACTAGGGAGGCCTCGGGGTTTCCCTGGGACCTTGCCGCCTGGCACGGGCTGGACAGCGGTGAGGTCCCTCCCTCCCTCCCCTTTCCCAGAGTCCCGGCTGGAGCTTATGCCCTGAAAGGCAAATGTCCCGTTCACAGAACCCACTGGCTCTGCCGCCCCTGCCAGGTCCCCAAGCCCCGGTCTGGGAGCCCAAGTGTGGGGCTTGAGGGTGGTGAGGGTGGCCGCAGGCAGGCCAGGGCTCAGGCTCGGCTGTTTCTGACTGCAGGGGACTGCAGAGGGCTCTGGGAGCTGCCTTGTGATGGGGCCTGTCTCTGCCTCTGTAAGTCATGGGGTCAGAGGACACTGTGTCCACTGTCTTTCCTAAGAGCTTGAAGCCATCTATCCACTAAAATCTAGTATTTAGGGCAAGAGAACCCTCAAAGGAAAGGGCCTGGCAGGAGGAAAGAACGGCCTCCTCTGGGCACCAGCAGGGACGGGAGAACAGGAGAGAAGGGGAGGGAAGGGGCGGAGCCAGACGGCTTCTCTCCCACTACAGCAAGAAGGCGTGGCTCTGGGACACTGGGTGGCCTGGCCCCCCCGCTAGCTAGCCCGGTGGGGACAGCGACCCTAGCATGCCGGGCTGGAATAACACCCGTGCTCTCCGCTCCTCCAGGAGGCAGGCACTTGCCGAAACCTGCTGGGCAGCCACCGACCACCCCAGGCACCCCCTCTCCCGCCTCCTGGGGCCCTCCCCGCAGATCTGAAGCCCCAGGGCCCTCCCAGCGGGTGGGCGGAGTGCCAGGCCAGTGCTCCACTCACCATTGTCCTTGCCCTTGACAAAGGCTTCCCACTCCCGGAACCACTGCATGCTGATGCAGTAGATGACGCTGGGGGACTCCTCGGCCTGGAAGGCTTTGTTGAGCTGGGCCGGCCGGGGGAGCAGAGGGGAGGGTCAGCGGGATGGTCCCAGCACCCCGCCAACCCGCACCCTCGACTCTCAGAAAACACCAGATCCTCCAGGCAGAAACCGCGGGGCCCCCAGACAAGCTCAGAGGAACATCCCCCCGCGGCCCCGCCACCCTGATCTCTTTTCAAGGACTCTGATCCAAGGGAGAAGGCACGCAGATGCGGTTCTCCCGCACTTCACGGACTGCGGCCGTTCGCTCCCTCGTTAACCATTCTGACGCGTTTTCTCGTGGGCACAGAGCGCAGTGTCCTTTAACGTCTTTCACCTACGCGTCTGCTACTGGATGATGGATGGCCCCGGGTCGCCTGTTCTGAACAGCCCCGGGGCCGGGGTGTGCCCGGGGCCCCAGTACCACACTGCCCAAACCCCTTCCTAACACGGCATCGTCCTGGGTCCTGTTTTGCCACCTGATTTTTTTCACTTAACACCCCTTTCGGGGTCAGTTGGTAGAACCCATGGTTCTCAGTAGGAGGGGGAAGGGACACTGCCAGTGTCTGGAGATCATTTTCGTGCGGCTGGCATGGAGGCGGCCAGGGATGCTAACTGTCCTATTACCGGCAGTCCAGTCCCCACGACAAAGAACCATCCAGCCCCAAGCCACAGTGCCCGTGGCTTAACAGCACACCCGGCAGATGGACCTGAGCCTCCTGAACCCCGCCCTCCTGCTGGTAAAATCTTAAATGTCTGGCCAGGCCTCTGGCCACTCTGTTCTCCCCACAGAACGTGTCTTCCAGATAGAGCCTGGCTGCACGCGGCTCTTCAGTCCCCAAATCCCCGCGTGGCCCCAGCGGAGGCTAGAGGCGCCCCACCCCCACCCGCACGCACCTTAATGAAGGTGTCGATCTCAATCCGCCTGCGCTTGGCCAGTGCCTCTATCTCCACCTGGCAGATGGAGCACACGTACAGATGGTTCACGGCAGGGCCGCCCCCAAACCTGCACCGGGAGGGAGGACCAGGAGGGGGGAGCGGAGAGGGAGGGGGAGAGAGAGAGAGAACGCGAGCCCTGAGGGGCGGGTTCCAGTAGGGGGGGCAGCAGAACTTGCCAGAGAGCCATGACCGCCCTCCACGTGGTGGGTTTCTCCTCCTCTGGGGAGGCTCCCCAACGCTGCAACCCTGGGTGCCCTGTGCACAGCCCGTTCGCTTTTCCGTCTTCCTCGCCAGTCTGGCAAGGGCACCCGTGTGCCAGCATGACCACGGCACCCGGCATGGGGCCTGCCCCGGCACAGGTGTGTCACAAACAGATGTTTAATGGCTGAAGGAGGGATTAACGTTCTCACTTCCTCTCTTGGCTGCTGGGCGGGAGCCCTTGTGGCCACGAGCCCACCCGGCCAGACCCCGGGGACGATGTCAAAGGGACGCAGAAGGTTGTCCCTCTGCGGGCAGGAGGGTGGAGCTCCACGGGATATGGGGACACATCTCCCTGTGGGGCTTGGCCCACCCTCCTGCAACCGGGCAGAGTCCGCACCTGACCTGCCAGCGGCCGGGGCAAAGCCTGTCCCGACCCGTCTGAGCACGTGCTGGGCATGGCATGTCCTGCCCACCTGTCCACAGAGCCACCTGGGCCTGAAGGCCCCCCGAGCCGGGCCTGCCCCAAGCCGGCGCTCCCAGGACTATCTGTGACAGGGTCCAACACGCTTGCTTTTGCTTGAGCCGGTTTTGTCCCTCCTGACCGGAAGGATCCAGCTGGATGCCCACCAGTGTCTTTTTCCCTGCAGTTCGTGTGCCAGGGAAGCCCCTGCAGCCGCTTCTGTGCGGCTCTGCCCGGAGTGGAGGGCGGCGTGGGGCCCACGGTGGCGTCCGTTCCCCGAGCTCCTCCCCTGCCCCGCCGAGTGCCGGGCCCGGACGGGGGCAGGCTGCCCTCCCAGAAGAGGCAGGCACGGCACCTACCTGTTGTAGAGGTGCTCCCAGACGTTCTGGGGCAGGATCACTACCAGGTCGTCGATGTAGTGGTATTTGTTGGGCGGGATGCCTGGGGAGGAAGGCAGAGGGACGGGGAGCTGGGGGCTCGGCCGCCCGCCCCGCGCCCCCACCGCAGAGAAGGCGCCCTCACCTCCGTGGGAGCAGAGGAAGGTGTGGTTGGTGATGGGCCCCGGCTCCGCGAAGGTGTTGAACTTGTTAAGCCATTCCCGGGACACGTAGAACCGCAGCAGGCTGGGCTCCCGCATGGCGGCCAGGGATACCACCTGCTGCCGCTCCCGCACAGCCTCCTCGCTGCTCTTCCTGGGGCAGGGGTGAGGCGAGGGTGGGTGGGGTGGGGTAGGGCAGAGGTGGGAGGGGGTTGGGGCAGGAGAATTGCGCGCAGCCGTGCCTGGGCTCACTCCACGCAGGGGCACCAGCCACAGCTGGCAGGGGTGTGCTCGGGGCCACCTACCGCCACTCCCCCTGCCTGAGCCCCACCCCTGCCAGAGTTCCGGCCACCGTCCCCTCCCACGGGACCACCACGGAAGACCCAAACTCAACTTCTTGGACTTCCCACTTTCCCGCGGTGGCCACAGGGCTCTTTCTTCCAAACTGAAACCCTTGCTGCCCAAATCTAGAGCCCTTCCAGGCCCCACCCACTCTGACGGAAGCCCCAGGGGCCAGGAGCAGGACGCCCAGGCCCGCAGGTCACCAGCTCTACCCCGACGGCCCGCCCAGGGCCCCCACCTGTAGAAGAGGACGTAGGCCTCGGCGTTCTGCACCACCGTCTCGTGGACCTCAGTGACATACTGGTCATCGAACTCGTACCATTGCCCGTTGATGACGTTCTGGCAGTAGGCGATGTAGTGGCCACCTGCGGCGGGCGGGGTGGGCGGGTCA